CTGTTATGTTAAACTTATATCAAAGTTTTTCTTCGTTACCCATTCAAGCCGTCTCCAAGCGTTATTATTAGTCTCAAAGTGGGTTCCTCGTCATCGAATATGTTATAACATTTTTATTGGGGGTGTATTCTTCTCCTAACTATGTACTTTCTGTTTTAATATGCTGGGTGTTAAGACTGTGAGTTTACATGTGCCTGCCCATAACATCTAGTGATCAGCGAGGTAATTTTTGGGACATTTAAAAGATACTGTCGAGAGGGTTGGTCACACGTTCTGAAGAAATAGCCTAGTTGCTTGTTCTATTGTCAATCTTGGAAGTTCACGGCAGAGTAATTACTCCTTTGATACGTGTTATACACTGTTTTATATAGATATATTATATAGACGTTTATAACTATCTACGTATTATACACTGTTTTATATAGACGTTTATAACAAGCTACGTATTATACACTGTTTTATATAGACGTTTATAACTATCTACGTATTATACACTGTTTTATATAGACGTTTATAACTATCTACGTATTATACACTGTTTTATATAGATATATTATATAGACACTGTTTTATATAGACGTTTATACCTATCATGCGTAAGACATTTTAGACAGAATATTATGTCTAGAAGAATATTAAGTATTTTAGAAATAAGTAAACAGACGTCACACCACGCGCTAAATGTGACTATCCTAAAACTATCATGGTATTTTATTTTTACATATCAAACTTGTGTCGGGCATGTGCGTGGCCCAATGGTTAGCCTACCGGACTGTGGAGTTGAAGTTTCGTGGTTCCCGCCGCGTTACCGACACATACACACAAAAGGGCCTGGCATGGCCAAATGGTTAGGGCACTCGACTCGCAATCTGCAGGTCTCGAGTTCGAATCCCCGTCCCACCAAAACATGCTCACCCTTTCAGCCATGGGGGCGTTATAATGTGACGGTCAATCCCACTATTCGTGGATAAAAGAGTAGCCCAAGAGTTGGCGGTGGGTGGTGATGACTAGCTGCCTTCCCTCTAGTTTTACACTGCTAAATTAGGGACGGCTAGCGCAGATAGCCCTCGTGCATCTTTGCGCGAAATTCAAAACAAACAAACAAACAATACACATAAAAGAAATATTGTCCTCATTTTGGAGCCGAGGGTGCGTTATAAGTACGACAGTCAAATCTTATTATTCGGTCTGACCAATAGTATACCGCACGCACACAACAAAGTAATGATACAGAAACAATAGTCAAATATTCTATTTTTATTCCTTGGAAGGGAAGTTATCAACATTTTCAAACTATGTTTTCAGGCTTTAAGAACACTTTCAACTACGATTGCTTTCCCTTCCACAAGTGTCAAACTTGGTCGATTATACTTTGCTTTTATCAGTAAAACACCATAAAACTAGATCTTCTAGCTGATAGACCTACCAAATTGTTATTGGGTTTTTATTTTGTGATTTTTATAGCACGCGTTTTCTTAGTGTCATTAATATTCGTGTAAAATATCAAAGGTTTGTATTGTTCTCAGTCGCTTTATTGAAATTAATTGAAGAAATTCATGTTAATTTCCGGTCTTTCTTTCGTCATACTGAAACGTTAAAGTTTTATAAATTAGAAAGTCCCCACAAGTACTTGCGCATTTTCGCACGTCGGATTTATAAATCGTTCCTTTACTGATAATGCAGAACCGATGAAGTTCCGCATTTTTCCCATTGAAAAAAGCATATTTTACTTATAACTGCTATATTAGCATAACACAAGAAAGCAAAAAACAAGGTTCGTTTTAAATTCAAATCCCACCGACCTGCAGTATAACAAGTTAGTTATTCACTTTTCATGCACCAACCAAATAAGTCATACAGATTTTAAATGCGTGATCTAGCCTTTGTTTTAACTCTTCTCAATAAGATAAATTCTACAACATAGTGTAGTATTATTTGCATCGAATTCCCAGTTGTCCTGTTACACTGATTTTGAACATTGTATAACCTTCGCAACTTTGTTTACGTTTATGCTCCCCCCCCCCTACAAAGTACCGTAAAATTGTCAGAAATTCGAAGACGCTACAAACCCACCGATACAGACCTGAAAGAAAGATGGGTTTTCGACACGGACAACATGAAACTAAGGTGGGTTTTCAACACGGACAACATGACCCATGCGTGTAACTTCATCGATTTTCCAGTCAATTTATCAAGTTCAAATGGTCACTACAAAAATATTTTACACAATCGTGGTATAATTGAAAAGTAACATTTATTTAACTGCCAATCTTTTCATTTATTACATCATTATACAGGCTTAACCAACTGCTATTCTACAAAGCCAGTTGAACAAGAATATACAACTATTCTTCCCGCTTCCAGTGGGAGTTTGTCATAAGATATGCGCACGAACAAGAGTTTTAGGAACAGTTAAGTCATGAGTACTCAACATAAACTTTGCATGTAACTCCTCTGCTCTGCGTTTTGCGACGACTGTTGACGATTAACAGTTCATTCTACTAATTCTTCAAATACCCAGAGGATTTAAAAAAATTAAATACCGTATCTTTCTTCATACGTACAGAATTCAGGAATGTCGTGTTTTTGAAGTTCTACAAAAACATATTGGATTTTTTTATCTCCAAATTTAATACCCCATATTATACAGACGGTCACTTATTTTTAGAAAAATGTTTTGCCCCCACCTCATCAACTTTATTTTATTCCACAAAAAAATATTATGATTCGGAGCAAAACGTAAGTACCACGTTTATTTATTTTAAATTCCAAAATATTTTTGACCACAAACAGTAGTTGTTTTTAATTAAATATCGTAAGTCTACATTTTATGAATTATAAATATTCATAAACACTCACCGCTTTATTTCAACTCGAAGTTCCAAATATAAAATAATAATTATTTTGGTTATCGGCCTAATTCTTGTAGTTTAATTCGTCGGAGCTAATAAAATATTCGACTTGATAACTCTTCTTAAAGCTAGAACGTTCGCTATGCTCAGTATTTGTCAACCAACTACTTACGCTTGCCCCGTCAACGTGAAATCGGAATGAAATAATCTGGTCCCTACAGCGGTCTTTAAACGACAGCTTTGTTTACCATACCTCCAGCATTTACTGAGCATGCGCCTTTAATGCTGTCTAGGCGAATCAAAGCTAAGGAAGATCTTAGGTAAGCAAATAAATCATTTTAAATATTTTTTTTGACAGCACAGAGAAAATGTTTTATTTGTTGCTAACATTGCAGGATGTGGTTCTTATTTTCCATGGTTACGTGGTTTCCTAAGGAAATAAATCCACACTTTTCTTAAATTTTTTTCACCACGTATTTGAAGCAATAAATAGTTTTTAATTTATATTTTAAAACATTTTCCCAAATATAATTTTCATTCACAATGGATAATATAGAAAATCAAAAGGGTAAACCTGTTATTATTCCTGAATTTCTGGTTATATAGAGGTTGAGTGCTTCATGTTAAAACGATTTTGGAACCTCACTACGTCGTTAAAGTTTAAGTTGCCACGTCTAGTCATGCTCTATCTGACAACCGTGAGCTGCACAATAGCGGAGTTTTCATTGCAAAAGGGTCCATCATAAGGTTGTAAAGTCCAAAGGATACCATTCTCCCTTCTTGCTTTCCATAAGCCATATAGTGAATATTTCAACCGTCTCATACCTTAAGCAGCTGTAGAATGAAACGAGTGCTCGTGCTATTCTACCTGAAAACATACTGGACAAGTTGTCTCTGGATTTCTATGTGATTGGACTGTTGAAAGCAACTTGTTTACACTTGACTTGTATCGCTTTTTCAGACAGAGATACTTGTTAATTTGATTATGTTGAGCACTACTGCCTATATCACGTGGGCGGCTTTTGCTGTTGATCTTTCTGTTCGTGGATTCTCACCTCTTATGAGGTGTCGCACTTTTCTTACCATGGCTGGGTACGACTTGTTGCGGGTCTCTTTATCGATGGTCGTGGTACCCCAAATTGATCCAAATTCCTTTATTTTCCAATAGCATTAAGTACAAGCGTTTTCATCGTCTTAGAAATTCCAAATATCTTATTTGAATACATTTTTATGATCTAAGTGTAAAATATTTTACACACACAAATATACAATACATACATCTTAAATACCATTTCCAAAAGTGATCAATTTTCAGTGACACGACACTACCTACACTTCACCAAACAAAGTCAAAATGTAGCTTTGATACACTCCGTTCCACCACGACTTTATGTCAACTGTGTTTGTCACGTGAATTGCAGTTTTGTTTATTCCAAATCATTTTAATATGACATACTTAACCGTCTAGAGATAGTGTAAAATAGATGGTTTCTTTTAAATATACCCTGAAAAAATTACAAATACATTATAAATGACATTAAAAAATGCACTTGTCATGGTTAACTCTTTATATAAACAATGTTTAGACCTTCTGACAACGAAGCTAAGAAGAAGAAAAAACCTTTCCTAATTCAAGAAATTAATACTGACTTTACTCTCGAACAACAATTAGTTGTTAGCTGGTCAGAATTAAGAGTAAATATACAAAAAGAATGGAATATTTCAAAAACCATGAGAAATCTTCCACGGGTACATATCTAATGAGACTGGAGCGATGGTTATTGTTCTTGACTTTGGACCAAAGGTATCTAGTTCGCGCCTCATAAGCGCTAAAAAGAAGGAAAAAAAAGAAACATGCGCTCCGCCACTTTTTGCCATTTGTGTGTTGTAAAAGTAAAGGTCAAATTTCAATATTTGATTACAGTAGCCCACAAGTTGGTGGTGGCTGGAGTTGACCAACAACATTCTCTCCAGTCTATCACTTTAGAATTAGGGACGACTACGCTATCGAGAAGCTTTGCGCGAAATTCAACAAACAACATACATAATGAAAACCGGTCGACGCTCAGTCTTGTGAGTTATCTGTTACACGTGCTGTGCACGTGTTCTCCAGGCATTCAAAACATTCACGTGGTCACGTGGATTCTATAAATTTGACAACAAAACCCGTGGCGTGGATACACCCAAAATTCAAAATGTGAGCCATTTTATATACAGTATTTATGGTTTATTTGTATAAGTTAGTCAACAAACTAATCAAAGTGTACCTGATATTTGGATGTAACTAGACTTAATCGGGTTTTTCGTGTTTCTAATAAGACATAGTTTTTTTAATATATTCTCTTTCAAACTACCATTCAATCGGTTGTCCCACTCAGTGGTATTATACTTCCTGTCTTTTCTCAAAAATATATGGTGATATGTCATCAAATATCGCTACTTTTTACCTACAAATTATAAGTATTGTTCTGTTAAGCTGTGGAAAAACATCAGCAACGTTAACACGTTTAAAGTCTACTTTTGGCAAAGATGTTTGCTTCACAGCTATTTGTTTACTTAACATATGTGTGAAGTATAAGTAAGAGCATGGCGCCCGCAGGAAGGGATAAGAAGGAGCATTTGCCCCCATTACATTTCACAAAAAAATTGTATGTATTATTGTGTAAACATAATATCGTAATTAAACTAAATATTTTTAGTCATTTTTTATTAAATGTTTGTTTGTTTGTAATTAAGTACGAAGCTACACAATGGGCTATTTGTGCTACGGCCACCACGGGTATCGAAACCCGGATTCTAGCGTTGTAAGTCCGCAGACATACCGCTGTGTCATTGGGGGGCATTTTGTTATATTAAGACTGTAAATATTTGTTTGCGTTTAAGCACACAACATTTTTTTTTATTCTGTCGTGTTACACTGTAAAAGCTGATCCCCTACATACATATTTTGCCCCCCGCCTTCCACCTCGAAAATATTTCTGTGGGCGCCCATGACTAAGAGACTAAGTCAAATATTTACCAGATACCTGATTTTAGACGATGAGACTTTTCCTTTGAAATCATTGTTTTACAGTTACGATAACTAGTTTTTAAAGTGCATTCAGATCAAGCTAGCATTAAGAAACGACTTAGGTATCAGAGAAAGTAACAAAAGGCAGCATGCATAAGGGTTAATATTGTTATTGAATTGTAAACAGTCTGAAAGCTATAGAGAAAAGTAATACTGATATTTTGAAGATTAGCATGAAAAGTGTTACAGTTGAAAAAACTGCTCTATTTCACTTTTCCTTAACTTGAAAAATATTTAGTTACATATTTTCATGAAACTATATCTAACCATTATGCGTAGGTGTTCTGCATGTACATAGTTGGTGACATCGTAAACTGGATATAAAAGGTCATATACTTGCGCTAATCCTCTAGCTTAAATAAAGGATATATTTTAGAGTTGTTCTGTAAAAGGCTTATAATTACTTGGCCATATCTCTGTACCACCTACACTAAGGATGTACTCATTCCAAGGGATGGTACAAATATTTGTCTAAGTTAGTATAAGTTGGAGCTTTATATCACTTTAAAATGTATAGTTGAAATTGTCATTAACCTAAGTAATCTAAAGGTATGGAATATTGTTTGTTTGTAACTATGCACAAAGCTATGCACAGGGCTATCTGTGCTCTGCCCACCACGGGTATCGAAACCCGGATTCTAGCGTTGTGCCACTGGGGGGCGATGTGGAATATCACACTAGAAACGTTTATTTTCACTTAAGAGCTTAATAAACAATGATTCTTGATTTTGTCTTAGTTTTGTATACACTTGCTTTCTAGATACTCCGGTAGCCCAAAATTACTATTTAACACAGAACATAGAAACCAGTTAGTGCTTGAATTTAATATTTGGTTTAAAATGATAATAATAATTGAATATAATTATTTCGTACTTACTTTAATCAGTCTGTAAGAATTGATAACTATTAAAGAAACGAGTTTTTTTGTTGATATTTTACACTAAGCTACACGCAGGTTATATCAGTTAGCGGTCCCTAATTTATCACTTCAAAATTAGGGGTAATCGAACTAATCAATACCACTCACTAATAACTCTTGGGTTAGCTACTCCTTTCTGTATCATTACCCACTCCTGCGCGAGTCCCTAAGGGACGCAACCTTAATTTCAGCTCAGAATACAAAAAACAAATCTGAAAACCATGTTCACGAAGTTATAATCAACGTAAACAATTAGCATTCTGAAGAAACTAAATTAGATTATACAACATTCAGGAACTGTAGAGTATAATGATGTCGCTGTTAAGGTGCGAAAGTACGAAATGACAAGTAGAGAAATACAGCTTTCCTAAACTTTTAAAATATATGATGCAAACATATGAATGTATATTCAGTATCGACCTGCAGATTTTAAACTTAAATACTAATACCTACCTTATCTCAAAATTACACGAGAAAAATTTTGCTTCGATTATTATTTACAATTTATTTTTACACGTTCATTGTGTTTCTAAACAAAAAAGAGAATTGTTTTAAATTGTTTATTTGCACGCTAACTCTTAAAATATGTTGTACAACCCCAAGATGTGACTAAAACTACGTGAAGAATGTTTTTCTAAAATATTACTTGCCACACAACAAACTATTAGAAACACACACACACACACACACACACACATTAGGTCCAGTATTAAGATTACGCAATAGAAGCGGATGCCTATGGAGCCAAATTACCTGAGTATTCATTACATAACGAAAGTTCTTACGTCATATGCAAGCTTGCATTATATCTTGAAATGAGCAACTACTGTAAGGTCAATGTTAAGAGGATGAGTAATACGTGACTGTCATTACATCAAACCACCTTTGTATCTTGATGAACATTTTCCCAAAACACGGATCACGTGTTACTATTTCCCTTGGAATGATTATAACACGATACCGTACATTTTATTACGCTGTATTTCTGTTGTTTTTACGGTTTTTAAATTGCTGACGCATTCGTCCAAATACCAAGAATACTGTTACGTCTCTGTCGTTTTTAATTTTCCGTAGCAATTCTCTCCAAAAAAACTTTAGCGACACAAGTCCTTTCTTAAATAAAACTAGTTTATTCTTTCTCAACTCAACTTTGCAATACACTTAATTTCCACACTTACTTGAACTTAAACAC